AACTTGAAAAAAAAAACACAGAAAAAAAACACAGAACATTTATTATTCTCAACCAAGAATACTATAGTTGTAATTTAGTCAATTTATATATTTTCAGATTTTCCAAAACTATTCATATCGAATACTGAGCAACGTAAAAGTATTGTGTCAGAATTTAGCTAATAAAAAGGGTAAATAATGAACATAAACGAATACCATTCTGTGTTCATCAAGCGATCATCTGTATGCACTTCATTTTCCTCTGCCGCTACATGATCCGTTTCTTCAATGTTTTGGCCTTGCGGCTCAAAACTAAAAGGTTCAATAAACCCTTTGAAGGTTTGTTCGGAATTCCTGTTTTCCAAGTCTTCAATGAATGACGAGCAAAGGCTCGATGAATCAGAGGAATCACTGGAATCACTGCTCGAAACACTCGAATCACTGTCCGCCATTTTGACTCATGAGGTTACCCACGTGTGACGTCACTTGATCACGTGACAATAAAACGAAGCTTTTCAGAGAGACGACGCAGAAAAAGGTGAAAAAATGTAATTAAAATTTTGTTTTTGCGTTTTTTAATATCATCATGATATTTAGAGTAGCCTCATAGAAATATTAAGTAAAACCTACGATATATAAGAATAGAAGCAGCAGTTGCCCTTTAATGTTCAATAATTGTTGAGCTGAATTTTGCAATCAAACATTAATTATTAGTGGGCCTTGCAACAAAATGTGGTTTTGTGCGTGCACGAATTGCTGACAAAAAACTATGCATCGCGTTTGCGATGAATACTAATAAGGGTGACCTTTATCAGATATAGAGGTCCATGACCCTAGCAAAGGTCTCAGATTTGAAACCTGATCATTGACCAATGCAGGATGTCAACCGATTTCAGTAAACAGCCAAGAGCCCTTCTATTTTACTTTATGCGTATCCAATGTGGGATGACAAGAGTGCTTTGTAAAGTGATTCGCGCATGATCAGTTTGCCGCATTTATCTCTGAACATATTTGTACGGCAATTTCTCCAAGAATTTTAACGGATTTGAGTTTCAAATTAGTGTTGAAGTTTTTTAAGGCGTTTAAAACACTCGAGATCGTGTTTTAAACTATACTTAATACTCCCGCCTTTGCCCCAGATTCAAAATATGTGTCGCGGTCCCTGACATGTGCGTACTAGCCAAAAAGCTCACGCTACGCACCTGGTATTCTAGCGCAAAAGCGCTCAGGTCACAAATAGTTTTAATGCAAAGTCAAATGCCATAAAAACATGGTGTCCATGCAGAAATTATTTTCCCATTTCCTTCTAAGGACAACAGTATGACGATCATTTTCCAAAATAAATATATATTTCTGACTGAGCCTCCTTTGCGCTTTCTAATCTCATGAGCAGCTTTTATTGACGAAGTTAGAATAGTGATCAACGCGGATGAAATCCATGAATGCAAATGACTATCTTTATCCGCTTAGAACCAGCACTCGAGTGTAAGCTGTGAATATCCCAGTTCAGTTTCTTCTTATAAATTATATACAGTCCAAAACTGCTTGCATGGGACGGAATTAAAATGAGTTCTGTTTGTAGTTTAATCCAGAAAATCAAGAAAAAACTGCACGAAACACTATAAAAAGAGCTGACACTTAAAGAAAAACATACCAAAAAAACTTAACTTAATAAGAAATACCCTTAATTCCAAACTACCGATATTATAATGGTAGATTATATGACACTGATTTTCATGGGATCCAGCCACTTCCTCATACGATAACATTTTCATATATAAATGCATTACTGAGATCTGCATACCTTGACTGTTTTGGGTTACCATACAGAAGGCTCATCCGAGTTCTGTAGTGTTGTGAACATACATCGTCAAATCACCTATATTAGTGTCCCATATAGCACACGACTGTCTATTATTTTTCTTAAGAGTTTTTTTTAACAGGATTACGTATGTATTTTGTTTATTTGTATACATTGTCATGGCAACTAATTACTGAGTAAAGCAGGGCTTGAACTAATTAAGCACAACTATGATATAATTAATATTCAGGTCAGTAAAACATACGTAATTCACCTATTTGCAGCACAGTGCATAACAAGCTGCGTGTGATATTTTATTTTGCTTGTTTTTCAACCTTACTGACTTATAATGGCCGTTAACTCCTTAGCTGAAAACCT